TAATAAGTTATAACGTGACGATTGTTCGAAATGTCAATCCTTTGAAACACGTTTTTCCCCGTTTTTTCGCTTTTTCACTCTCTCACGCTGTAAAGATTTCCAAATATTCCCCGTTTGCCCTCTGATTTCTCTATTTTTTATTTTTTTTGCTATTTCCTTTTAATCCTTTGTCCAACAAGAAATAGTTAACGACCGTCAGACGGAAGGTTTATAATACCGTTCCCTGTGTCCAGCTGAATTGACGATGGTAGTGGATGTTATTTCAATGTGCCGCATTCAGTCGAATCAATGGAATCACGGATCAATCGTGCAGTGAAAATCGCACGGAACGTTTATTTTGCCATGCGTTCACCGACACGGGCTGTGCATTTCAGACGAAGGATGAAAATTGCATCGATACCGGACCCGGAAAACGAATTTATTACACACCTCGACATGACCGACGCACTGGAATTAATGTCGAAATCTTCTTCCTGATTGAAATTCGCCGGAACATTTGTCACTGTGCGCGTCAACTGATTCGTATGTTCGTACACAACGGAACGAACATCTCCGAGATAGAAACGGTATCAAAGCGTACGAGTTCAGTAACTTTTTTCAAACTCCTGTCTCGCTTCTTTTACGTAACGTTGTTGCTTTCCCAAATAGATCTTCTCAAATAGATTAACAAGATACAGTTCGCTAAAAAGCTTCCAGTCTCTGTAGTTGACCTAATTCAGAGAAATTGACACAATCTGTTAACTCTCTACTCTATGTTTTACTTGAAAGCGATCAAATACTCGGTGCACATCTATAATTCCCGAATTGATGATGGTGTCCGTGACACAAATCAGTCGTCTACAGCTTGTCTGCCGTATTAAATATCCAGCGTATTTTCGTTCATCTCGAGGGACGTGTTGGCCGGAGAACAAGAATCACGTTTACTCGTGTTGGGTCTCCGATCGTATATAAGACTCTCGGAGAAGCGTCTAGTGGGAAATATTTTCTCGGTGAAAGATGCTTGCACGCCACTATTGGTTTTGCGGTTTCGTAGCGCCCTTCTGCCTTTCTTTATCCCTCCACGCGACTCGTTTATACGTGTAATTCGACCCAGATATCTGCTACTTCGAAAAGCAAAGTCAACGCTTCCACTTTACTACGATACAATTTATCGATAAAAGCTGGAATTAATATCGATGTCGTTTCCTGTTTTCATCCTTATTTTCCGTGTCTTCGATCGACGACCCATTCACCGTCGTTCCGTTGCAAATTTCTTCTGCAACGTTGCTCCGATTGTTGCAGAGTATCTCGAATGACCCTCGAAAGCGTGAAAGGGTCGTTTAAGAAGGGTGCAAGAAGTTGAAAGCGAGGGATAAAAGGGAGAGAAATTTGAAAGTAGGTCGAGGAAAAGGGGACTAACGCGACAACAAGCTAGGCGAAGTTAGAGCTCCGGAGAGTACAGTAATTAATATCAGTTTAGCGAGAACTTAGAAGACGCAATAAGTTAATAAGCAGAGCCACCAAGTTTCGCGTGCTAAACCACGGTCTTCCGGTTCCTGCGGTCCGATCCACCGACCTCTTTAACCAATTATTATCGCGATACGCGATTCACCGAGCAGCGTTCCTCTTCGTTTCTAGGAAATTATTCGCTCGTTTCATCAAACGATCATTACGTCGTGAAATAATATCCTGTAACTGGAAATCGCGATAATTTCTCTTTCTTCCCTTACTTTCCATTCTCTATCCTTTCCCATTTTTCGTTTCCTCTCTTTCGCTTTTCCTTCGACCAATTTTTGCCATCGCGAAACAAAGTGTACGCTGCCATTCGACGTGGGATTTCACATCGATAAGTCAAACGACGCGGCAACCAGCAATCACCGAGAGCAGCTAATAATCGTAATCTCGACTGGCAAAGCGGTTACGCCGACACGTCGCTAATAGGTAAACATACGTGCATAAATACATCTTTGCTCGTGATTGTCAGATACGAGAGGGCTCCAGAGGTCGTAGATATAGTTGCATCGCCTGGTTTTCGCCCCAAGTAACATGTAACGTATGATCTGTAGTGGCATCGAGGAGACACGGAAAGCTTGTACAGTCTGGTGCAAGCTTAAGGCGGCTAACCTAGTGTTTGCACGTCACGTTACACGAATGTTACGTATCGTGACGCGACAGCGAGCGTGTGGCTTAACGATCGAGGGCTGGTTTAAGCAAGGATAATTACGACCGAATACACCTGACGCGACATCTTCTCGCAGTCTCACAACCACCGACGAGAAAAGTATCGCGACAATTTTCACGCGATTCAACTAATAACGCGATCGTTTTAACGATTCCTAAGGATCATTAGGGTGCAATTTGGAAGCCGTTGACGCGATATTAGTCTACTTGTTTAAAAAGTTTACACAGCATCGACGTCTTACCATCGTATTAGAAGTCTCGCGAACAAAAGTTCGTCGTGCTCGCGTAAATTATTCCTGCGCTATTAACGCAATCGCACATTTACCGCAACGTTCGTATCTACTTTAAACGACAACCGTCCGCTATCGTATTCCAACATAGAAATATTTTTCTTTTCCGCTACTTCGATTACGTAGGAAATTTTGTCGAGATGAACGCGTAATATTCAGCACGCGGTTGTACTCTCTTTTACGGAACGATCGCTTTAAGAGCTTCCACGTTGCACAAGCATAATATCAGTTTTGGTTATATTAACCAAGAGGAAGAACTTAGGAACTTAGCAATGACTTTACTTCCGCTTGGCTGCTCTACTTATTCATCGTTTACCTTCGTCGAAGTTCTGGCCATCGAAGATCTTGTCAAAAATATTCCTAAGAAGATGTTTGCTCGTCAAATACCGCAGTGATTAGCAGTAACGCGGCATAATTGAGCATCGAAAGCGTGGAGAGGTCCGCATATAGGCCAACAACCGTAGCGTACGAACTGAAGCGACATTAAGGAGGCGTGAAAGGCATGCAGTGGATTAAGCCGGTTTAAGGGCTCTAAGATGGTGTTTGCACATCGTGTCGTGTAGTTGGTGGTCTGTAACAGGAAGGTGAAGCACGTACATTAGCGGTATCGCGATTAGGAATTACTTAACGACATATGAGTAATTTGTTAATGAGCGAATAGCGGTACCCGATAATATTTATAAAAAAAAAGATCTGTCGACCTATTTTTCGCGTATTCACGAATCTGTGAAAGCATCAAAAAGTTGCGCTAAAAGGCAATTTGTCCAGTATCTAAAACAGCGTCCGACGTCATCGTTTGAAACACGTAGCGTCGGTCCATTAATTTGGAGTCACCAGCAGAGCCAGACATAATGAATGCCTTCGAGCGGAAAAAGGGATCGAAATACATCGAGAAAACTATGGGAAATGCAAGGAAGATAGAAACAGTGTGCAATCAGGAATAGAGAACGGGAATCGTTGCCCAATATTAAGTTCGATTCACTGATGGAAGAATAAATCGATAGTTGGATTGTATAAATTACTATCAAACAGGAACAATGAAGTTTACGTAGAATAAATCATAAAATTATTCGCATAGACGAGAATGTGACAAAAATGTTCTTACGTTTCCAAATAATAAATGTAAAAAAGTCCTTTGTATCGCCTTTTATTTTTATTTATATTTCGCTTATATTTATATTACGCACATTAGCACTGATATTTAAGGCAAAAGCCTAGGAATCGGTTTAATACGGTGTGTAAGATCGTCGATATCTTAAACACAGGCTGACACGCCGCTAATAGAGATAAATTACTTGTTCAACTAATGGGAATGACAATACGATTTGCGGCGAGGTAAACGAGCGCTGGATCGAAGCTACATTCGTGAAATTCATCCGATACGTGATAAGTTCGCTGTTAATTGAGTAACGAAGACGTTTAAAAATGGTTGAAATTCCATTCGATTAGAGAAATTGGACAATGTAATTCTGAATCGAACTTGCATCTATATCAAAATCAGGTGCTAGCTGAAACAAAGTGAAGTTCCAATACACGAGTCTCGTTTCGTTGATAAATTGAGATAGTTGCATCGCGCGGCACGTATTCTCGCAAGTCGTTGTCTTTCTATCGTTTCATGGCCTTTGTGTTCATTCGCACGCCCGGCAACACCTGGAAACTAATATCCCCGGTAACAAACTAACGATGTATGTAGATCGTAATCCTCTTGCATTGATTATCCTATCGCTGCAGAATTATTTACGCAAATGTAGCTCACCCATCGGGAGCGTGTCGGTGTTACTCCGACCATTCGATTACGTCACACTTTATTGGATAAGCCGCCGTGAATTTCACGTTTGATTGATATTTACCTTATGGAAAAGCCAAGTTTGTCTTCTTTCTAATAGCTTACATAGACGCGTCTTTATTTGTTCTTTTGAAATTATGAAGGAAATCCAGCGATTCAGCGGACGTGTACCTTGATGATGTGTAACACGCTCGTAAAACACGATAGTTCAATTTCAGATGCAACCTTAATTACTCGTCGCAGTCTGATCACGTAAAGCATATCGTACGAAAGTTTAGATTATCGAAAACGTCGAATTTGAGTTTGACTTTGAAAGCTACGAATTTGGATGCGTTTAATTTTGCGAAAGTTACGCTAGAAACTTTAAGTGTTGTTAATTCAAAAAAAAAAAAAAAAAAAGAAAAGAAACAGAGAGAAAAGTGTTCGCCGTGAAAAAATAATTTTAGTACGGAAAGGAAATGATTTCGAATCTGATAAGGGTGGAAAGAGCACATAATGTACACACACGCGCATATTCAGGAAGGCTCGTGGAGAAGATAGGAGCGGAAATTCACAGTTAGTTACCTCAATTTCCGTTTTGTTTAATTGTGGTAGAATGACGCGCGCTGCGCGATCGGTAGTACTCATGCGAAGGAATATACACGATATGAAACGCAAATTATCGCGAATAGATTTACCGGTGTGTACCATTCCCAATCGTCTGATTAAGGATGTTTGATGAGTGGAAATTACCTGACAACTGATTAATAGAATATCGAGCAGCATTTCGAGAATGACCAACGTGTAATAGAGGGAATGGCAACCGCTTTACAATTCACCAAGTGTACACAATATTAATCAAACTTCATCGGGAATTATAAGTTTTTCCCTTTCCAAATAAAACACGGAATTACTGCAAGTTGCTGCTAATATTAATTGCCTGCATTATAATGTACGTGTCTAAGCGCCAGTAGTTCAATACACAACATGTCATTACGTTGAACAACTTTTGGTAAATTGCTCTCTCTCTCTCTCTCTCTCTCTCTCTCTTTCTCTCTCAATGCAAATAGTCAAAGCGCGTGTGTTATGTTCTACAATGTTGATACCATGCAAACTAGCAACACAAAGTAGTCTGTTCTCGTTCTCGACATATCCTCTCTCCCTTAGGACTCAGGGAGTAGTCCAAGTCAGTGTGTGATGGGACACAAAACATATAACACCCGGAACAGTTCCCATTGCGTCTCAGGCTCCGTGTAAACCACGCAACCTCAAACAAAGTAAGCTAGAATTGGTTAACAATAAATAGCTAGAGTTTGGACTTGACGATTAATAAACATGGCGTAAAACAACGAGACAAACGTGTTCGTGAGAAAGATTTGGAAAAATTGAGTTAAACGATTGTGAAATTGAGTGAATTCGCAAACGACAAACAGAAGAGACTGTGTGAAAATGGTGGAGTCATTAAATCGGGAGAAGAAAGGACGACAAAACCACGGGTACACAATGGCTTTCTGGGATGGCAAGGTCGATATAGAGAGTCACGACGAAGGATTCATCGGCAGGAAGTCAAGGGAGCGATAACAAACCATCTATTCAATGGCCTGGGACGAAGATCCTGGAACACCATTGACGAAATAGAAGATATCTGGAATCGGCGAGACGTACTTTGTATTCTGGCACTACCTCGAAAGACGGTTTGCGTACGAGTATAATCGTTCCAAAGATCTTCAAGATTCAAGCGAGAAAGGTGTGGGTTGGAGGAAGCGTTTAATGCTTTTAAGACGATTTTGTTCTTAGAAGACTCTTTGATATTTGACGTCCATTGAAATCAAAGATCTCAAAGAAATGAAATAGTAGATTAAAACGTGTGAAAAATGGTTTCAAGCATGGCGCGATGTAATTTCTATTTGATTTCTACGTACAGCCGATCAATTTAATTTATATCTAGCTTTCGAATTTATTTCCATAATTCGATTAACAATTAAACATTTATGTATGATCCTACAACAACGAACTGGTTTATTAATTAGCGATAAAATAATAAATGTTTCGCAAATGATTAAATAAAATTCCACAACGGACTAACCAACGCATTACGAAATAATCTCCAATGGATTCATTTAACTTTCGATCACCGGGAGTGGTTCTTCGCAAGCTGTACTTTTCCCCTCGTGGCAACAAATTGGATCCGCAGCTTTCAAACCAGTGAATTTCCAGCTGGTCGCGTCGCACACTTTCGCGTATACTGCCACCTGAAATATATTTCACATTTACGTTGGCATCGTTAAATATCAACTTGAAATACTCTTTTTGAACCTGATCTTTTAAACAAACTTACGTGCAGATTCTCCACGTGCGTGTTCAATTTTTCGCAAATCATTTGCGGCGCTTGGTCTCTCGCGCTCTCGGCCTGCACAGAATTACACATATCTTTTTGACGTTCGCCAGACATGCTATCGAACATACATGATTATTTACTGACCAGAGCAACGCACAACTGTTGACACTTCTCCTGCCCTTCGCTATCGCACGTGACGTTATACAGAAGAGCGCGTTCAATGATTGGTTTTGATATTTGCCTGGAAAACACGGCGCATTTGCAACCTCCCTCTTCAACGACTTCTTGCCTGTAAAAGTTCGAAATTAAGGAACCATTATTAATCGTATCACCGTTCATTAAAAAAAAAATTAACATTAATCAAAACGTTCGAATACTATCGTTAAAATAACACTAATTATCTGTCAGTAATTTCAAGACGACTTCGATACCATCGTCTCTACTTTCTTTCTAACGTTTATCTTTAGTAGAACGAAATACCAAAGGACTATAAAAACGAATTGTTACATTGTAAACCGTAAAACGATGAATAACAGAACGAAGAGCAGGAAACGATCCATTGCGGTTCCACGATGTTTCGTTGGCCGAAATCGATACAAGCTTGGTTGAGTCGTGCGAAACAGACGAACAATCGAATGGGAATACTTCATTTATACCGGACAGAAATCCCTACCATCGGTGCATCCAATGCATGTTTGGTCACACGATACAATTGTCATGCTCGCGATAGCTTGTGAATGTCTCAAGTTTTTCATCGACGAGTTATGCGTCGCGTTGTAACGCGAGAAAGAAAAGGAAGCGGTATCGAATGCGCGTCCCGTTTCGTCGACTGATGCATCGTTCTCGGTGAGTATAAAGCAACATTCGATTTTATTTTTGAAATATTTCATTTAACATAATCTATACTAACAATGGGATACGTTCAAAATTTCAGGCTGATAAGCTTTTAAGCACAAGCAAACACATTATGATCAAATATTTATTGCAACGTTCGCAAATAATCTATGTGGTTTGACGTTGGAAAATATTTCAAATTTCAACTATTTTATAAGTATTTTATTGTCTCGATAATGATTATTAATAAACTAGGATGGGCTGTCGTTCGAGACATCCTTAAAAGGCAATATAAACTTAATTGATTACTAAACTGCTGTAAAGAATCTTTTAAAAGTATTAAAAGTCTGAATTGACGAATCAAAAGCTTCATAGCGAAGTTAAAATTCTGAATTAATTGTCAAAAAAGTCTAAGCATTCTAAATATAACAACAATCTCGTAAGTTTAGTCGAAATCGAGCAAATTTATTCATCATTTAAGCGACAAATAATTATTTCTCATTTAAACGTCAATCCATCACAGGATCCAATGGAAAGCTCATTTTCTTCGAGCAATTTCCTATCTGTAATTACTTTCCTTTCTCTTGCGCGCGACTAAGACGGAAGGTCTTCGAACTTATCAAGAGAAAATGGCGAGAAAAAGAAAGGAAGAAAGAATCCCTACAACAGTTGCAGTAGCGCGAGTTATTTGTCTTAACAGAGAAACTGAAGGAAAGTTTAGTAATCGTCGCGATTAAGAAGTAACTTTTCGAATACAAAAAGTGATAATTATTCACTTGTAAACGCTACAACATTTCCAAAATTGTATTCAAGTACGATAAACGTAGAATCTAAAATTTGCCATTTTTATTCCAGAGAATATTAGAAAATTTTGATTAAGAAATTTTTAAAGATAGCCTACGAAATATTCTTAATGAAATCGTTGCAGATGATATTACAGTACTTGATAACTAATAAACAGCAAGTATATTCTAATGGAATATGTGAGTTAGGTACTTAAATTTAAAACTGAAAACAAAATGAAAGTCCTTCGGGCGATATGGCGTTTGAAAATACATTTTAAAATGAAAGATCACCCAACTGATTGAAATGCAATCCAGATATCTGATGGGAAACCTTGTGCTTATTAATAAATTTCTGTAATTTCACTCCACTTGTATATTTCATTGGAAATTTATTGTAATGCACCACCTGCTCGTCGTCTGATAATTTAATCTCTGCTCCAGAATAGTTCCAGATTGTTTCAGAAACTTTTAACCTTTCTAACCTTGTACCTCGCAGTGTTATAATTCCCCTTTTTTCTATTCGTTGGATAATAATAAATAGTTTTTGAATGTATCCAATTGATAAGGAAGGGGAAATTATATTTTTGTAATTAAAATATAACACGACTAATCATACGATGAAAGAAACAGTAAATAAATCATACAATATGAAATAATAAGAAAAGAAATTTTATATTATGCGCGTTAAGCATGAAAGTTGTATCTATAGGACAGTTAAACAATGTACTGATCTCACGAGAAGAACATGGCGTCCATTATTAGAGGTGCGACATCCTCTGATTAATTATAAACACGTAAATTCTAAGTATACGCTTTATTCTTGTAACTATTTGTCATAATCTAATTGATGATACCTTGTTTTCATAGACACGGGTGAGATTTGGAGCCGACTATTCGATCATCGACCATTTATTCAGGGCGAAATCACATTCTTTCTTCGCGAATTTCAGGTAAAAAGTTCCCGTGTTCTTATTATCGATAGCTGCATTTCCATGTGAGAAAAAGATAGTAATTATGTAAAAGACCATACAAAAGTATTATCTTTCTCAGAGGATCGATTAATCATTTCGTATATATCTTGATAATAATTTGTTATCGTGCATAACCTAAAATTTATAGGAAAAGAGAGATGATCGAGAAGTAGAACGACTTTTCAAAATACTTGAATATTCGACGGATTTGAAAGAAAGTCAACTCGATCGAACAGAACAACTCGGGGATTGTCATTTACCAAGTTTAAAAGCAAATGTTGATGTTGCCCTGAGTATGTGTGAAAGAGTCCTTCAAAGAGAACAAAATTTTGACAGTGTATGGATCATTTTCAGTAACTGAATTTTTTCCAATTTAAATATTTTCATATTTGTCATTAATGTGAACATTCAATAATTTTTTTAGGATATAGCATTGCTAGAAAATAGAGAAATAAGAAAATTAGAATGGGAGAAGTTTGTTAATGATATGAGTGAAAATTGTGAGAAAGTAAATCAAACTTTTCAAGAAAAAGAGAATGAAATAAAAGAATTTTATATTGATTTAGAAAGAAAGTTACACATTACACCATAAACATTGTTACGTACCAATATTTTACAAATACATTTTGTACTTTGTAATTACATATAACATACAATAGTACCAATTTTGGATTTAATGTATAAACACTGACAACAATATATTTCATTAATAATAGAACAGTTGTATCTAAAAAAATATAAGAATGCCAGTTGAATCAATAGAAGATCCTTCCATTAAAATCAAACCAAATAAGAAATTAATAGAATTCATCTGCAAAAATGTGAAGAAGACTAGTAGTACTCCAGCTGCTATTACTGCTTTAAAAAAGTCAACTAAAGATAAGCAGAAAGATATCTTATTAAAATTGGATGATCTAAGATGGTTGAACAAATACTTAGAAGAATACAGAACCAATCACATGGAAAGTATTTATTTACACGAGTTGCTAGAGGAAGATGATATCAGATTACCAACTCCAAAAGTTACACCAAGAAATCCTGAGTTGGAAGCTAGAACGCAGAAACTGAAAGCACAACAAAATGCTATGAAATATAGAGCTATGACCAAAAATGTAGATACTACTACAAAGAATTTACCAGAGGATACTATCTCCTACCAAAGTAAGATCCTTAACTTAAAAAGAAATTCTTTCCTATATATGTTACATCTATCTTTATTTTTTCAGTGAAACAAATAAATAAACAACTCATAGCTGTTGCACAGTTTATATTTTCTGTACTAGCAGGTTTTGCCTTTGGATTTGTAGGTCTGGAATTAATAGTAGGAACTTTAGACTTTGGATTTAGATTGTTATTAGGTATAATTTGTGCATTAGTTATTGCCTTGGCTGAAATTTATTTCTTAGCAATTAAATTAAATGAAGATGCATATGATGCTGCTTCAACAGCTCCGCCACATAAAAAATTGCATCAAGAATAAAATATCATAAATTATTGTTATCAAGACAAATTCTCTTAATATTAATGTCTTTTTGCAATATCTATAAATACAAAATAAAGAAGAAAATTATAATTATGTGCAAAATGTAAAATGGCATATAAAATTCTATTGTAATACAGCTAGAAACCCAGCACAGAAAAATTAATGCATTTATTTTGTATTATATAATAAGGCAGCATGATGCTTTTTGGACTAATGCATTTCAAGGTATAAATATATACTTTACTTCATATATATTCTTAAAATTCTTTTCATAATGTACCTACGAAGTCTAAATGTACTTTGTTGTTAATAAAGAGATCCTATTTAATGTTCAATTTGTCTTTAATGAATACATATAAAAATAGTGTTAAACATCTAAAATTATTATTTATATTTAATCTAAAACATTAAATAAGCAAATGGTCTAAACATTTGGTATAAACCAAATGTTTATAAAGTTCAAAATGGTATATTGTTTTCAGCTAAGTTTGAGGTATTTCTTAAATAATCAGAGAGCCTGTCTTATGAAAATATAGATGAAGGTGGATATTAGTTGTCCTATCTTTTGGTTTCATCTTCACTGTCACTTTTGTCACTGGCTTCACTTTTGTCACTGGCAGAATCACATTTACCGTTCTCTTTTGCCTCACTCTCTTGTTCACTATTTGATGAGTTGTCATCTTCTGCTTTCCTATCACTATCAGAACAAGAATCTGTATCTGACTCACTATCACTATCTGAGTCTGAGCTACTCTCTGATGAACTACTATGTGAATTTTTGGCAGCCATCATTTCTTTGAATTGCCTGACTGTGATCTTCCTTGGCATTATTTCCCTGAGAAATTCCAATGTATCGTTGGTCTGTACCACCTCTGCCAGATGTTTGTAGTCTAAAGAATTCCCTTTGTTGTTTTGCAAATGTGCTTCTTCCGTTAGATAGTGTATAAATAGTTCCTATAAAATTGTTTTTATCTTTGTTTGTTCGTACTTATTATGAGAGGTAAAGCATAGTATAAACTAAAATATAGGTGACATAGTCTGAATGTAACACATATTAAACAATTAACTAATAAATATTACAAAAGTAAAACACACAAAGTGAGAATTTTTAATTGTCGCGCGAAACAACAAATATGGAAGCTATACAAATGTATAGAATAATCCCGTTTAAGCGTCACTTAACCTCAATATTTAAACATTAATCTTACCGTAGCTTTTGTGACTAGATATAATCCATCTTGACCGATTGTATCAACATAAGGAGAACTTTTCATAATCGTTTTTACCCTTGACATAGGTAAACGTAATTCCTTCATTTTAGCATGTGATCCTTGCGCAGTCATTTTTGCAGAAAATCGATTTCTCCTAGAACCGAACGCAAACTAACAGTACGGCAGTAACGTATGTTAATCAATTGCCGCCAATTTTCGAATTTCGCATTTTATATAGCTATTTGACACGAAATTCGGGAACATATTGTATTTGACTAAATCCTATTTTTAATTTTTTATATTTAATTAAATTTTAAGAATATAAATAATTATAATACCAAACAATTAATACAATCTAAATTTTCCATGTGATATTATTCATTTTTCTTTGACAATAAATATTGTAAATAAAATGATTAGGTCATTTTTATTTAGCAATTTATTAACAAAATTAAAGAATTATTTTTGAAATGCTTTAAAAAAGCAATCGTGTATTGAATTCGTTGGTAGTAACAGTGTAGTAATAAGGTACTGTAGTGACATCTTCTTTCACTGATCGAACATTGCTGTTTCTATTTCTTTTCAATTGGCACGTTATATGCGGCGTACAGAAATTTTGGCGAGCAGACAGTTGTTGCATCAATCTGACAATCTGTAACGAGTCAAGGTATATTTAATAATATTTTAGCGGTATATAATCCACATGCACACCGAACTGGTTTGCAGTATTAACGGAGGTCGAATTAATTGTACTTTGCTATATAATCATCGAATTAATCGATCAATACGGCACATGGCGGATTCGGGCTAATAATGTTTCAGTGAAAAATTAACTAATTGTTCATATATAGTTGTTCAGATTGTTGGGCCATTGGTTCGTAAACGACCTCTTTTAGCTTGTTTTATTCATTCATAGAATGTATGTTCAGTTTATATCTATAACCTATTATATAGATCTTCACCCTTGCATTTTACGAACATCTGTTTTGTATTTGTGATAACTATTTATTGTAATAGTTTTATTGTATCGCTTTCTCTAATTGTAATTTCATACATCTTGTGAATTAAAGATATATGTGTATTAAAGATATGTATTATATCTTTCTTTTTTTATTATATTTGTATGCTTACATACTTACATGCTTGCACTCATTGTTATTAAAATATAATATTCTCTAAAATAAATATTGACATAATTGATGCTGAATTTATAAATTACAGGAACAAAATACCTATCAGAATGTCAACTTTTCTTGGGCTTATTAAGGAGATACCGGGCATCTCAGTGGATCGTTTTGATGGAGAAAACTTAACATCCTCCATATTTTTTCTTAGTCATTGTCACTCTGATCATATGCATGGTTTATCAGATACATTTTTTGAGTATATAGATGAATATAAAAAATGCTTCTATTGTAGCCCTATTTCAAAAGCATTGTTAGAAAGTAGATTTAAATTTAAAAGTTCTTGTGTGAAAGAAATAGGCATTAATATACCCAGTGTTATAGAATATATAACAGAGAACGAGGAAAAGATCCTCATTTGTGTAACTTCTATCCCAGCAGGACATTGTCCTGGTTCTGTGATGTTTCTTTTTGAAAAAGATAATATATCGGTATTATATACTGGTGATTTTCGTATCAATCCAATAGACTTTCCAAAATTAAAAGGTCTGCACTATTGTAATGATTCTAAATCGATACCTAGAACATTTACTAAAATTTACTTAGATACAACATTTTTAAGTACTGACTTTCCTGTTTTCCCTAGTAGACAAGAAAGTATGCGTAGAATATATGAAGTTACTAAAGATTGGATAAGCAAAGACCCAAGGAATGTTGTTATTCTGGAATGTTCTGCTACATACGGTTCTGAATTTCTTTTTGTAGAACTGTCAAAAATGTTAGATATGAAAATACATGTAAGAAATGATGTGTTTGAAAATTATTGTCATATTGCACAATTATCTTGTTATGTCACAAATGACCCAGATAGTACTTCAATTCATGCTTGCAAGAAAAAAATATCTTCGCCAGGTTTGCGTTGTAGGAGTGATGTAAGCAATGCAAATATCTTAACTATTATCCCGTCTGTAATGAAATGGAGAAAGAAAGATACTAGCATAATAGGAGAATGGGACAAAAATAAAGAAAGAACTTTCAGTGTATGTTATTCTACTCATTCCTCTCTTACTGAACTTAGAGCATTTGTTCAATATTTTGAAGCATCGGAGATATACCCATGTGTGATTAAAACAGAAGAAGAAAGGGAAATTTTTCGCTTACTAGATACTATAAAAAATAAATCAGATGAAAAACCAATAATTAGTCAAAAATATAAATTAGAGCTTCCTAGTCGTAAAATATTAAGTAAAGTTAAATTTAAATCTGAATATTTTAGTAGTGATGATGATAGTTTATGATATTCATTTATATTGTTACTTATTAAGTTGTTAATTGTTGATACATATATACTATTACACAATGGCTTTTATTACTATGTACAATATTGTATATCCTTTTATTACATACTATATACATAACAAAAAACTTGTACTTTTAATAAACATAACCAAATAAAATTTTTTAGTACTTTTTTATTTTCCATATATGTATTCAAATGTTTTTAAGTTCTTGAAAACTACATTCATACTGTCTAACATATTGGAGTGTCAAATTATTTCAAAACATTGTGAAATGAATAAAATTTCATGTTGCAGAAATTTATTTGCATCTTTATTATTGAATATATCATCTAAACCATGGAGAAAGCAGCATTAGCACGAGAGAAGGTATGGTTTGACAAACCATCCTATGACAAGGCAGAACGATTATACTTTGAAAGAATGGCCAAGGTGAGTATCTTTCTCATTGTCAGTGAATCTTGAATTAATGTTATTGGATATAAAACTGATTGCCAACAGGGGTAGGGTAAATGTTTTAAACATACAAACTCTTAAACAGAATAAATCTTAAGTTTCATTCATTTTCACCGTTATTGTCAGCCCCAACATCCACAGTTAATATTTGCTTTTTTGTTATGCCTTGTACTTTTTCTTTGTACTAACAAAAAAACTAACATTTTTAACACACACTTCAGGGAATATCTGGTGATAGGGAAGATTCTATCTTCTTGTAATTCTATGAGGTGTTGGGAATTTTATTTTTTTCTTGAGAACTTAATTCCCATTTCTAGTTGTGTGTTCAAATGGATTACCTAATCTTGTATTTCATTTCTAACACAAAACTCTTGTGATAAGTATAATTAATAATATTAAAAATAAAAAAATAAGATAAGCAATGTGATTTTCTATTTATTTAATTATAACTATAATTATATGATGTATTGTTTTATATGTTCATACATTCAATGAATTTCTGAATGCATGGATTCTTTACTCAAGGTATTTAGTTTTGTGCAGTTGTGTTCTGTAGTAACAACATAAATCAAGCATGTAAAAGACATGCTTTGATTAGTTTGTATTTTACATCATTAATAACAAAATACGAGTTCTTTCTTGCATAGCTTAATGTTTCAAGGTGGTGTCTCATAAAATTATGGAAAGCTGCTCGCTTAAATCTGAAGTTTCTGTAATTAATAACTGTCAAGATAATTCCTTTTTGAATAGTAACTCTTTGACTAAAACAAGGTCTGAAAAATCTAAAGATAATAAGTTATTGATTTCTGAGAATATTTCAAATGATATAAAGAATTCTAAGTGTCAAATAAACGCATCAAAGATTAATAAAGATGAAGAAAAATTGAATATACAAAAAAAAGAAAATATAGAAGAAAAGCAAAAGTCTGACAATATCAAAAATGACTTAAAAGAGAAAGAGAAGGAGACTAGTTCTTCAAATGATGCATCTAAAAAGTATAATACGAAAGAAGTAAAAGAGAAAAAGAATAAAGCAGATACAAGACACAGAAATAGAAAACAAAAAAATGATACTAAGGAAGTAAAAGAAAATGTTACTCCATTAATAAGGAATAAGCAGCAGTTACCTATTCAGGTATATACTGTCATGCATCTGTTCTTTAATGTTTTGTGTGCATCAATGCAATACTTATAGAATTTAATTTTGTTCATTGTAATGTATTTCATTGCCTAAATCATCATAGAAATACTGCTTATTAAAATACACTTAGAAAATAGACTAAAGATAGCATCATTTTATTCTCTTATACAAACATTACTTTATTTCATGACATTTATTTTATGAAAATTTCAGATATATATTGTTTGTTATATATACTATATGTTATATATATTGTTGTCTGATTCTTAGATTTAATAGTTCTTGTATGAACACCAAAAAAGTACTGTACACATTTATCTTACTTTAATCCTATTTTAATTGAACACTGCTTGTTTTTGTTTTGTGCATAAAAATGGGGAATACAATGTGTCTGTGCTTCTGATTAGGAATGTTTGCATTTGTCATGATCTTAAGCTTATTAACAATATGTTTATATGGTGATAACAAATATTTTTATTTTAACTTTTTATCTTGTAGAAAAGAATTATTTGTGATGCTTATTATTTATTCACTTTTTAAACATTTAAAATATCTATCTCCACTTAACACTATTGAAGATGTATACTTATAAAATAAAGCTTTTCAAATATTATATTCAAATTTATTTACAAGAAGAAATCTAAATATAAACCTCTACTTTATTTCCATTTGGATAACATTAGTTATAGAACCTAGTGGAGGTGTGATATAGAATTTTTTGTAACAGTCAGTTTAGTCTGAGTTGATCTTTAATATTGCTGGATACAGGGGAATCAACAAACTGCTAGTCCCATTCTATCTGCTGGTGGAAGTTTAGCCAATGAGGTTGCCAAGGCTCGTCAACATATTAAACAGTCTTTACAGTGTGTGAGTACTGCACTCTTTGCACACCCTTATATAACGAATTTTCAAACCTGCTTACTAATACAATATGCAATATTAATATAAATTTATGGGCATAAAATCTAAGTATTCAATAAGAATGAGTATTTCCTTTTATAACTCTAACTTTAAATATAATCCAATTTTATTTTACAGATGGATGATATTGCAGCTGTTGCTGGTTTCACTACTCCAAATGATAATAAAAAGGATATTCTAGAATGTAGTGGTGAGTGTTCCGCCATTTACATTAAATTATTTTGTCAGTAGTATAGGAATTACCATATTTCAAATCTTCATCAACAGTCTTCCAAGAACTACAAAATGCTGTTGAAAAATTGGAGGAACGTGTAAAAGCTCTTGAGGACAAGATTTTCGTATCTGCTGTTCCAACATTAGCAGTTTGTCCTGCTAAACCTCAACCAGCTTCAAAACCAGCACAAGAAAAAGCTGATGACGACGAAGATGTTGATCTTTTCGGTTCAGATTCAGAGGCAAGTGGGCAGAAATAGTGGAACATATTAAGAAGTTAATCTCCTTCTATTTACATAAATATTAAAAATCATTTCTGCACGATACTTATACATTTAGTACACTTTACACGTGTCTTCAAGTAGGGTGCAAAAGTGATAAAATGATACGACATTTACGAAATATAGTACACCAGATATTCCCAGAATACTAATACATTCAGCTATAATTCTCTATTTATCACACGAATTCAATACAAACACTATCCTACAAGTATTGAAATGTAAATGTTGCTATTTATGATCTTTACTGTAAATTGTTTAAATACTTGACTTACTAGGGAGAAGATGCAGAAGCTGCAAAAATTAGGGAAGAAAGACTGGCTGCATATACTGCAAAGAAAGCTAAGAGTAAGTCACAGATTGAATTTGTACTTCAAATTTAATTACATCATGTTATGTAACAATGTCATTTAACAATTTACAGAGCCAGTCCTGATTGCAAAGTCAAATATCATATTAGACGTAAAACCGTGGGATGATGAAACAGATATGAAAGCAATGGAAGAGGAAGTTCGAAAGATCGAAACCGATGGTCTTTTGTGGGGAGCATGTAAGTTATTAAGCGTATATAAAATAATGAATTTGACTCTTTAATTTGAGTCAAAACTAAAAATATTTATTCTTTTATAGCAAAACTTGTTCCGCTTGCCTTTGGAATTCACAAACTTCAGATTTCGTGTGTTGTAGAAGATGACAAAGTTTCTGTAGATTGGCTAACAGAAAAGATTCAGGAAATCGAAGATTATGTACAAAGCGTAGATATTGCAGCTTTTAATAAAGTATAAAATATTAACGAAGTTTCCTTCGTAGAAAAGTATCTGACGGTTCTAATTGCAATCAGGCATTGGTCTGTTGTGCCATCTTTTCATTCCACTAGCAATATCTACTCTGGTAAATACATTACATACGTGTTCTATATTAAACGCGACTGTCCAAAAATGAAGAACCTAGTTATTGTACTCCAACTTTAATATTCGATGTGTCAATTTATCAAATCGTTTCTAAAAATACTCGGGTAAATTTTTAAACTGTGGTTGTATGATCAATATATTCTTTATAAAGAAAAATATAAACATTAAATGTTTTAAATATAATTCGATATATAAAATTGTAATATCAAGTAGGAACACTTCATTTGCGATCAATGATACCGATCATTAACGATATTGTAGGTATATATGTAATACCAAGTACTAGTACCATTTTTAATTGCTTGTTTTGGAGTATTGTTACTATAAATAAAAATTGTCAACTTAATTTCTTATTTTACTGTATCCTTTAAATCCTTTCCTTTCGTTTATAGAATGGGAAGATACAGTGCTGCTCTCTAGTAGCATATATTACACATAAATCAATCCTAACAACTTGAAACTGTTTTGACGTTAAAAAAGCAGTTTGTGAATTCTTTGCTTTTATTTCCCGTCGTGAATAAAGAAGTAATTGTATTTTCAAGATGACTATGGCAATGCTTCAACGAAGAGCTAATGTAAATACATATACGATTATATAAAATTTCTACTACATACATTTCTACTACATAAGTGTCGTTGACCTAACCTATATTTTGTTTGTTATTGTACAAAAACATATTCTTATTTCTTAGGTAAGGCTGCCTCCAGAAGTGAACAGGGTGCTATATATAAGGAATCTGCCATATAAAATTACCGCTGAAGAAATGTACGATATTTTTGGCAAATATGGAGCTATCAGACAAATCAGAGTGTATGTGTTTATATTAATCGCATTTTATACTTTTATGTATTTTTTTTAACACTGTAAAAAAGTCTCTAAGATTAATGAATTTCTTTGCTATAGGGGTAATACTGCCGAAACTAGAGGAACAGCTTTTGTTGTTTACGAGGATATATTTGATGCAAAGAATGCTTGTGATCATTTAAGTGGATTTAATGTTTGTAATAGATATCTGGTAGTTTTATATTATCAAAGTAATAAAGCATTTAAACGGGTTGATGTGGACAAGAAGATGGAAGAAATAGATAAGTTGAAAACAAAATATAATTTGAACGAGGAAAAAAAATAACGCAACTCTTGTAAATAAAGCGAAATATGGAAATAATCCATTTTGTGATACAGACTATTTAATTTGCAGAAACTTTTCTTTGTATATTATCATTGTAAAATAAATATTGTTTTAAATATATATATGACAATTCAATAAACGATTTTATCTACCATATTCATTTTGATTTTATGCTTCATTTAGTACAGTTGTAGAAGTTCAATGGCCCACAATAAGTAACGAGCAAGTATTTTCGTGTGGAACGCAATCATTTCTCGCTCCCCTCCCGAGAAGATATAAAAACCGGGGCGAAAAAATGTCGACGCATTAAAAGGCTGTAATTAATACAACTTTCACAGTCAGTGGTAGAGTAGCATTCCTCTATTTCCATATACCTCGCAGATGATAGCTATAGCCTTAATTAAAACTCTTCACTGGAATATATTGAAGTTAAGTGATTTATGTTAAGTCGAGATTTATGATAATGATTGAAACATTTCGATTTTTCTAGATATGCGTAAAAATAATCGAATATAAAATCTAAAAATATAGAATTCTAGTATTCCTGTAATCCTAAGGATATTTTAAAACGAAATTATGAATTTTCATTGGGGAGGTCAGAAGGAATCAGACGCTACAACCGAAACATTTATGACGACGCGGAGGTGTGACCTCCATCAAGGTAAAGTAAAAAGATGCACCTGTCATTATCGAGTGCAGTACGCGCGTGTCACATGTAATTTAATCGGTCGACTCATCTTGTCGACATTAGCGTTTTGTAATATGAGCTCGACAGGGCTACGTTTACTTGTCAGGATACTGGATACTGGATGCTGGTAGAAACGCGGGGTACGGTGTATCACAACACATACACAACGATGCACGCGTGCGCACACGTACGCAACTCATATACGGTTCTCGTCACCGGCTAGCCGGTAGGACATTCGATTTCAGTCGAAAGCGAAAACCCGCTTAGCCCGTTTAGTCGTGTTGTCGCGGCGTACCGTTTTATAGTGCGGCATTCTTATGGGTGTTCCCCATTTATTCGTTGACTTCGGCTCGTCATACTTCGGCTAGTCAGAGTGTTCGAGACACTACGAGACTTGCTCAAATGTCGTTCGACTGCTGTGGTAACGGCGAAGCCGCCGGCAAGACGTTCGCGAATGGCCTTGAGAATGTGTCACGTATTCCACGAGCAATCTACGATAGTTTCCTTCACGATATTGGCCATTTCACGTATGGGTACTGTTGGTTGTTCCTCGTCGTTGCTGTTCCTCTATTAATGGCCTTACGTATGTTAGGCCGTGTTCACGTCACGCCGCCTAGAGACGTCAGACTTGAAGAGTAGCGCGATCTTACGGAGCACGCAAGAGACTATTTTTGTTTTGTTGTTTAATCACCGGTGTAAATACATAAATGCGGTTTCAGCCAGATCGAATATAACACTGTGACTCGTGAGTGCGGGGTACATTCCTGCGATTTCCTTTCGCTGTATCTCAATCCTCGACACGATGTAAACAGTATGGAAGGAGGAATGGCGTCGTTCTGATGGATTTCTCGTGTCACGGTCCCTCTGAGTATTATCGTATGTGGTTGATGCGATTCGGTTTGTCGCGCTCGATTCTTTCAACATCGTACTTTACTTGGTTAATATTGTACGTGAGTGTGTAGTGCCGAACAGTGTGTGACTATGGTGTGTCGTCTGCTAATGTTGCTGACACGAACGTCGCTCGAGAGAAACAACGGCGTCGCGTGGGGGAGGAATGAATGAACGTGAAGAGGACGATCGAGGTGTGGCGGGAGGGGATGCGACGACCGTCGTGTTGTGACGGCCTGCTGCCTGCTTGCCGATTTGTATCGAGGTGAGAGTACGTGTATACATGCATATAAGTATACTTGTCTATATGTATGTGTCATGTGTGTTTATTCACGCGATCAACTGTGTCCACTGTCGTCACAGTCGCCGTACACTTTGCGTACACACAGCGATGTTATTTATGCGTAGTCGCGTTCACGCAATTCGTATGAACGTAATTCGTTCTACTCACGTGAGCCTCTATCAGTGTTAGCTTGCTCTCAAATATCGTAATGCATCATTGCGACAATGGAATTCTAATTATCAAATTGAAGCGATGACAAGCTCGTATGATTGACGTTTCGAATGGTGGACCATTACCTGGTTATATATCGATACAACTCTTTATTCGATATGTCGCTTAGTAATATTCTCGAGTTTTATGATAGTGACTGTTTTGAAGGTAACAAATTACTTTCTACCCTATCTTTTGGTAAAACTCATAATTAAATTATGCATGTTTATATATTTATAGGAAATTGTAAAAAATATCATGTAAAAAGAAAGGTTACAATCGTATTAAAAACTTACCATTCGTCTGGCTTTATATGCAGTTTCATTTGGTGACGATCCCCTTGTAGTCCTTTAGAAGTATACGAAAGTGAGCAGGTGCCAGGTACTCAAGTGAGTATGTTTGTCTGCTGTCTGGATAAATACGTCGTCGTGCTACCGGCTTTTGAGTTGCTCTTCTTCACGTTAATGCCGAGGAACTTTGTTCTCGAAATAATGGGGCGAGTCTCTTTCATGCACTCGGTTTTAGAAGAAATTTGAAGATCTTGCAACGGCACAAGTAAATTAAACCTTGATCGATTTTTCAAAATTTCGTTATTTATTCAAATCGCGTTTCATTGGCCATCACTTTTTGAAACCGTCAAGCATTAAACTGTTTAAAGCAAGATGATCAAAAAAATGGTGCCTTAAGAGGTTTAAGCTTTGTATGCAATCCTGTAGATCATAGATGTCGCGTCTTGCGTAAATCCTAGAAGTGGGTTGTGCAACCTTAACTATACATTAGAAATTTTTAATGTCTGTAATATATCCGTGGTTAAATTGAAAAGTGGAAGGCGAAATTGTTGAGCTTTTGCAAATTGTTAAATATAACCAATCGGAGTGTTTTGTACATGAGTGTTCGTAACAATACAATTTGTTACATGCTTTGAAATACGTGAAAGCGATTTTTCATCGACAATGTATAATCTATACAACAGCACAAGGTTGTAACGCATTTTATTGCATGACGTTAAAAGGTAATGAGAAACATACTTGAATTATAGGTATATACCTTTGATCAAAGGATTTACGATTAAGATTAAGATGCAAGTTTTTGAATTAAAAAGACTATGCATTGTTTTGTAATTCTAATTGAATATTAATTTTGTACGTAGTAACAAAATATATGAGAGTTTCTCAGGTAGGGAATTGTGATCTAACAATCTAACTGAATAACTTGTTTATGATTTGTTTTATACGACAAGAATGGTAGATATCTAAGAATTCTGTATGTATATCTAAGAATCGTATAGAATCATATTACTTTATTTGAAGAATAACGTTCTCTTGAAAAATAGTACTGTAGATGGCGTCAATAGATAGATGGCGGTAATTTGAAAATATTATTTGTAGTTACTCGTATTGTATCGTATATGTATCGTATATGTAGTTACTCGTATTGCATCGTATTGCAACTTAAAAATATTACTTGCGGTGTTACTCGTATTGCATCGTACTTTAACAAAAACATTTCTTTTTTTAATTGCAGCCGGAGCATCCGTCCGTCATTGGAGAAAAGCAATGTGGTGAGTCTCGACTTTCCTTCCATACTACTTTGTAACTTTAGATTATTCGTTAGGGTTATACTATGGCCTTGTGTTATACGTTTCGAACATAGGTTATACCTTAATATGCGAAGTGATGTCGGGTTAGACCGTAATTCTATAGGATAGGTCGTGAAGCAAATGCTAGTAAAACGCCGACGATATTTTTAAAGATTCAAGAAAACTAATCATTAATCATATAATTGTGCCATCAATGGCAAAAATTAATTCAAATGTACTGACTCCTAATCTTTCTTAAACAGGTTGTTCAACAGGTTGTTAGACAGTAAATTAAAAATTTTGTACCTCGTATAGACAATGTTCGAAATGCACGAGGTTATATTGCTTAAATATGAAATAGCAATATATATTAGAGAAAAATTCGGCCTATGTATCTAGAATTCTGTAAGAATCTGGCAACATCGGAAAGCGAACGAGCAATATGAGAGTGAGAATATCTCATAAATTGAAATTCAGAGCAGCAAAACAGAGATATGTACTACCGTTCATTAGCATTTAGACGCTCGCACCTTATGATAAATATATAAAACGTACTTAGAACTTAAAACACAACTTTTTCTTTTTAAATTTCAATTTCTCACGTTATCTATTATATATTCTAAATAATAATGCTTTACGTTTTATTGTATTTTAAACTTGTATTATTCGCTTTATGTTTCTTTATCACTGTTATTTTGTTAACAATTCTCGGAGGCTTACGAATAGCCTTAACCTTTTGCTCCGAAATCGTGAGTAAAAGAACGGTACGTAGAAAACAAATGTGCCGGTACACGCACACACAAGTCACGTGTCGTGTTTCCATTGCATGCTGTTATGCCTAATTAGTGGCTTGGTCGGTTGCATGCGGAAAGTAACTTAACTATTTTTTCGCGTAATTAACTGATGAACGCGTGTTAAACGCGTCGTCGCGTTTCTCTTTCAACACCGTTTCAATCTGTCCTACTATCGATGTACATTGTTTCTGGAACACGAAATTCGAAATTATTCCATCGATCGCCGTTAGACGATTACTCCGTCCACCGCGTCGAGCGTAAACGTGTTGCAATTTAGTTGAAACCCTTAGCTTCGTTGATAGAAGGTTATTGTCCGATCTAATTGCCAGTTGAACCCGTCCAGTCCTGGACTCGCGGTTTCATTTACCACCGTGTGTCCTATCTCGGCGGAATCAATGCGATCTCATTGCAGTATGCGTGTGGAGACTCATGTATTTACACATACACGTTCAACAGCCGGCGTATCACTTATCCTTATAACGCGTGCAGGACTCGAGATGAATCCGTGTCTATCGTCGACGTACTGTTAGTTTCACGAGAGAATCCGCTTTGAAGATGAAAATATGGCTAACTTCGTGGAAGGTGGAGGAAAAGACGACCTCTTGTCGTACGTTTCTCTTTGTATACATCGCGAGTTGTACATTATTTGTGTAATTTCTAGAAAACTACGCTAAAGCAGAGAACAGTGCCAATGCATTGCTCGATGTCCGATTAGCTCGTGTAGAATGCTGTTCACGTTCCGATCTATCGGTTCACGGAAGTCCGCATTGGCCGGCGCGCGTTATAAAAATTCAAGAATTCCACGAAGTTTCTGGTAGAGGCTTAGAGGGGCGTTCTACTCGCGTAGAATGAATCACGGTTGCGATTTGAAACGCAAAATATTTGAAGGCGAGACGGGTTGGAACGGACGCGAAGCTTTCTACACCAAAATTTCCGTTCGCCTCGTGAATATCTACATAATACGTCGGAAGTGGCGGTCGTACGATCCCGCGTCATTTGCATCGGCGGGAATTGGCTAATCGGCAATTCCGCGTAGGTTAACCAAACGGCCGTCGGGAATGCCAGTCGATCTTCCGTGTGAACACGACCACGCTTTCCTATCACGACGAACCTCCATTTTCTAATCTTCCAATCAATTAATTATATGTATCAAAATTCCAGACGAGTCTCACAAACACACATGCACGCTTAAATTACTCTAACATTGTTTAACATCAACGACCTCGCTTAAAAGAGAATTGCAGAGTCGATGTTTGTCAAGCAAATGATAGTCGACACGACGAAGTTTGGAATTAATATTAATTATCGAGCAATCATTGGCGCGATAGGGAAAGGAACGAGTGAAATTACGAACGAAACACGCTACGCGAAGCAGAACGAGGTCGTCGCTCGTGCGTTATGAACTTTACATGTTGTGAAGTGACGCGTCGAGACGTTTGATTCGTTCTGCTGATTTGCCTCTGTTACTTTTAGGAGATCGAGTCTAGTACCGCGAACCATTTATCTTCATCTTGGCCGTCATTTCTTTTCATTTGTTCCATCGACGTAGAACAAGACCCTCCGTCACCCTATTCTATTAACAGCCACGCGATGGTACTGCATATGCAAAGCCCTTATCGTTATTGTAGAACGATGTCCCGTTCACTGAACCTTTCTGCTTATACGTAGCGTAGATCTGGCCGCGTAGTTTAATCATGTATCGTTCGATTCTCTCGATTCTGCGTATCGTTTCGTTCGAGGTCAGGTCTAGCAATGGAGAGTACCCGATCAGACGTTGTTAGACCGTGAAAAATGCTTCGTCACAGACATTGAATGACACTGTAATCTTCGGTTGCGAGGCAAATTAAAACTGCTTAAGCCCAGACGTTCTTCGTTCGATTCTGTAAATTTGTTCGTCGTAATTAGTCATTGGCTTTAGATGATACTGCATTTTAAAATACAGATTCTATAGTTTCCATTCTTTTTCAGACTTTGTTTGGACTTTGGACAATATAATACTACACGATCCATCCGCAGTTCAACGTATCGAATTATTGAATTTAGATAGTTGCGAATCGCCATCAACTAGGTATCGTTTCTGTATCATTATCGTCCATCGCTTATTTTACACTCCCCTTTGCGTTATATGTTACGTTAACAGTAGCAAAATTATCGAGCAAATGGAAAGTTACAAATTCCCTGCCTCGCCTCGTATCTTCTCTTCTAAATTCATATTACCGCATCGGTCGGTTGCGAGGTAATTTCGTATGCGCGAATCGTATTCGATTACATCATTACTAGCATTCATACATCGCGCATAGTTTGCGCCAAACCCCATGATCTACGCAGCGGATCGGCTTGCCGTGAAATCTGTCAATGAAGCGGTGTTCTTGCATGCGTGGATTTCTAAATGAAAGAGAGAGCAGCGGAGAGGAGAGCGTGCGTTAGTAGTTCGTCCCACATCCTAGAAAAAAGCGGGTCATGTGGACGGATGGTTCAGTTGCCGACAGGATAACATTGCTTGGCAAGGACGACCGCCATCATCGACGCCGGCGTCGACGTTCATTGGCCTAAATCGCGGCATCGCTAGTCATTAACGTGTAGCATGCTAATTCTCGCTAGTAAAAATGCTAATGCGTCGTCTCTTGTTTCAACCGGCCGTTTCTCTCTCTCTCTCTCTCTCTCTCTCTCTTTGTCTCTCTTTGTCCGATTAAGTCGCGTTCAGGTAGCCGACTTTTATATTTTATAGTCCCTCTCGCACATAAAATCTTGTTAGTTTCGTTTTGTCTGTAAAGCATTGGATCGTTTATCGAAACGCTGATACGAACACTGATGTTTTATGACTCGGCATTACTCGATCGGTCTAATGATGTGTAATGATAGTTTCTATCTTCTTGCAACGATTTTATATACGAGATTTATAGAGTCGAGTCCTCGAAGTTACAAGATCGCGTGATACGATAGTACGCGAACAATTTGACCGATTATCGACTCGGATAATCGATCGAATTTCTTACGTATTGTATTCCGTATTACATACATCGCGGGTCGAGAAGATGGCATTGTGATAGAATTAATAACAATCTCGATTATCAAGTTTCTCGGTTAGGATTAGAAATTTTAAATAATCTATATATAGGCGAGATGAACTTTTACTTCGGCGCTCCAATTCGGTTCATAGAAGTTCAGTTCCGTCTAGCATTTGCTGATAGTTAAAGGCGATGTTTAGCGGAACTCGTACAAGATACGCGCCAACTTTGTTCCATGGAACGACGTGGTCTAATGATTCGTCTTAAACGTGAATATATACGCGGCAGCTGCACGCATCGTGGACGTCCTTTAACATTTTCTGAAAACGTTTCTGCGCGTGTTACGTAGAATATCTCAGACGCTAAAGTATACGATTCTCGAGATCTATGTTCCATCGTGAATCTTGTTTTATCGCAAACTTTTAACTGCTCGGAGCGAACGTATTCACTTGGTAATGAAAGTGGACGGATCGAATTTTAAACGTGGAACATGCAGAATCGTGTATTTTCGTGGCACTTCGCGTGACGAAAGATATCCCATTGGGCCGTTTCAGAGCAACTCGTAAGATCTAAAACAGCCCTTCGTGCTCTCGTTATTTTCAGATTGACGACGCAGATACGCGTTATTCCACTTGCTATTTTCCTCCCGCCTAACTAGGCTAATCGCTGGAATTTGTAAGCGAGCGATCTGGTCGTTCGATAACGCAGAGAAACGTGCATCAGCTATTCGATGCGATTTAGGTGTTAAAAGAACGTTAGATCGAGCCAGTTGCTGGGCTGTTTCGCCGAAGGGAGACACGGACGAAAGCGATAAATCCGATAAAACGAATATTTCTCTGGCATTTTAAGGTCGGCGACTAAAACTCTGATTAAATGCACCGCTTATCGGTGTCACTGATTCGTGTTAAAGAGCAGCATTTCATTCGTGCGCGTCGTGAGAAGGCGCAATGAATTTCACTGGAACAACGTTTCTGCCTTCTATACTTGTACTCTTTTTTTTTCGATATCCTTCCCTCGATTGCTTTTCGAGTCGCACCGTCCACCCTTTATATTCTGTTCGTTCGAAACGAATTACCATCTTGGTCGCTTTTAATTCTTCGTAAGACAGTTGGTAAACCAGTCGTTCGCCAGGGTGCGAGTTCCAGAGAGGGGTTACTCGGATGAGAGCACGGTCGAGGAA